TCCAGAATTAACTCTAACAAAAATTATTGCACTAACTTTGTGTATAACATGTGCTTTATTGCTGGAAGGTCAAGCGAATGTTTGTTACATGAATTAAATGTTATGTAAAGCAACTCCCATATGAAAACAACCCTGAATCTGAACACTGTTGAAGTAAGATGGTATCAGCCCATAATACATTGTAATCATTTTCTAAACTGTTTCTAGCAAGTTTGATAGTGGTTCTGCAGTTTTTGATATTCTCTTGATGTTCCTGAAAGTGGCAAGCCAATTTTCTAGTTGTGGCCCCAATATAAAATATTTTTGCTCCCTTTTGTATCTGCTGTAAAGGGACCATGTACACCCGACTTCTCCAAAAAAGTAAAACTATCACTATCATTACATAATAATATTTTTTTAAAAATAAGATAAAATAGAATACAATTAATAAAAATAAAGTAACAAAAAATAAACAAAATAATCCTACAGGCTATGACAACACCATGTTTTTACAACATGTCACATTTTTGCCCCTTAGACAGTGAAGGTCATTAAATAACGATCACCATGCAAAGGATAGCATTACACAGTCTCTGCTATTAATACATTGTTCTCTTAATGTAGATTTAAAAATCTCTATCTCCACAGTTCATAATTTGTGTTCCTCATAGATCAGTTTTTTAAGTTTAAGTACCACCAAATTTGCTGATACCCTGAGTTCACTTGCACACTATATTATTTCTGCTGATATCGTATTAATGTTCTCTAATTCTATGTGCTAATGACCTGCTGGTTGAACTAATGTAGGTAAGATGTCTATCAAATCAACTGTCATAAACAGGGATAGAATACACCCCGGGACTTTATTTATGTGATTGCAATCGTTATCCTTAGTTAATAATTGGCATATCATTGCCCCATGTTTGTATGATATAGGAGTGCCTATATATTTAGAAATTAGTGTATATGTGGATTTTAGTTTACTATAGTAATCTAAAACTATGCATTTACCTGCCTGTGAATGTGGTTGTGTCACCCTGTTTATTTGATTTGGCTGTAATCTAATGTTTCAATCCAACCTGCATGTTATGCTACTGACAAGTACTTCTACTGTACCTGTGTCTGATTGCAAATTTTCCTACATGCTCCAGCTCTTTCATGGTATCATTAATGCTAGAGGTTGGTTGGTTGGTATTTTATGGCGCAAGGGTCACATAGGCCAAGCTGCACCATTAATGGTAGAGTAATGTGTATATGCTTGTTTTACTAATGCCCTGAATATGGCTACTTTAGACGTATCTGGGTCATTAGAGATGGCTGGGAAAAAAAGTGGTATATACCCTTCCTGCTAAATCAGATGGCACTAAGGTAAAGCACCCTCTTACAATGGAATTTTGAAAAACATAGTTACAAATATATATACTTACATAGGTACTATGAACATAGTTTTAAGAAATAACTTTCATTTTCAAACAGTGACAATTTTTATAAAAATATTTTTTGTAGAAAATCCATTAAAGCAGGAAAAAATAAAAATAAAAAGGCCAGTTTCATAATGTTGCTCAAAATATTCAAAAATATATAGCTTTTGATAAATATATTCCACAAATGCACTTACATAAATCTAGTTAACAAATTCCAGAACAAGCTGCTCAAAGGAAAGTTAATCATCTATATACATATATAGATGATTCAAGATGTGTGTCAAGATGTCGCAAGATCATTTTTAAAAATATAATTAAAATTTTTAAACATAAAAACATACATTTTTATAAAAATGTATGTTTTTATGTTTAAAATAAAAATATTAATGCAAACATTACTTAAAGCTCTAACATTTATTGGAAAAAAAAAACAGTATTGTACATGTAAGATTTGCTGTCAACAACATAGGATGTAAAGGAACTAATAAAAGAATCAACATAAACATATTAACTTAATGGCTATACAGTATATTATTTTTTCAGCCCCTTAACGCCCAATGACGAGATAACTCGTCAAGTTTACGTAGCGTTACGAAAAACCCGGTCCTTAAGGCCACTTTTGACAAAATTTTTTTTTTTCAATTTTTGGAATGTTTTTTAAGTCCCCAAATTTTTTCAAAATTTTTTGTCCGCGCGAAAAATTTTATCACGATTTTAATGAGCCTTTGATAAGGCTCAATTAAGGCTCAGTTGTTTTTTAATGGGAGTTTTTTTATCAAATTTATTTCATGGTTCCTAAGTTGTAGCGCACGGATTTGACTTCGGTAAAGTTATTTAAAGCTGCTTTCTGATGTCAAAAATGACCTCCAAAAGTTCAATTTTTTTAATTAATATATTTTATTTTATATTAATTTAATTAATTAGGGGGGGTCGGAAATCGCAATAAAATTTTTAATTTTTAAAAAATATTTAAAAATTTACGTGTTGGTCATATTCACCCTACTTTAAACCCTTGTCCTCCCGAGACGTATATGAGAATGTCCCGGGAAATCCGAGACCAGATGTTCTCAAGGTCATCCAGCTGTGTAAACAATGACTCATCAGTGTTAAATTTCACAGAAAGGCACAACAATGGTTTAAAAAATAAAGAATACAAGCAAGCAATAAGGCTTAGTCTGATTTTTGGAACAATAAAAAGATATAGAAAAACAAACCAACACATATCTCTAGCTGATCCAAATATAATATATGGATAGAAAACTCTACAGATATTATCTGCTCAATAAAGAGTGTACTGCCCAGAAATGCAACAGCTATACTTTTCTCCAGATGGCATTATCAGAGACAGTGACAAGACATTATTGCTTATTGGTTTTGATGGAAATAAAATATTCATCAAAACTTTGGAATGCTTTTATAATTAATGAAGATAGACAAAAATAAAACCTCCATACAGCATTATTCCATGCCTTTCTTCTAACTTCATTAATCTATAACTTTCTTCTATTTTTTTCATTCAGAAAGTATTAAAAAAACTACCCATGGTATTACTGTAAGAAGTATTACATCCTACCATGCTACAAATATTTTGTTTCTTTATTCCAGAGGAAAAATTTATCAAATTTGCCACATTAGCTCAGCCATAACCCTGTTGTTTGTAACTACAAAGTTCATTACTTACTGCAAGTGGTCTCAATCAGTAGTGCAAAACATATAGGCAGGGAGCCTATAGCTAGGCTTGTAGTAGACATTTGTGTTCACCAGCCCATTTTTGAAATTGATAGCAATATCTAGGAAATAAGTCTGTGTGTTGTTAAGTTGGTATAGTTTTAAAGTCAATCTGTATGGGTTGTTGTTAAATGCCTGTAATACACTGTTCATCTCATCATCCACATAATTAGTACGTCATCCACATAAATGAACATAAAGAATAATACCTGGCAAAAATTCCTGGAATTTTCTAGATTCTAGTTCACTTGCTACTATTTCAAATTGGTCCCAAAATGGGACTTCCCATAGGAATGCTTCATCTTTGCAGATAAGTGTGTTTGTTAGATGTAAAAAAGGAGTGTAGCATAATGTGTGAACCAAATCTAAAATTTATTGGTGGTATGATTGTTAAGCAGAAATAATCTGAAAAATAACACAAAGCATAGAAACATGGCTACAATCTAATAGATACATGGAAATTAAATCTAGAACAGTAATATGTTCATTATCTATCAAAGCAATTTCATGTAATATCTGTCAAAAATCACAAGAGATTTTTGACTGAGTATTTATAGCCCTTAAAGTGCTCTGCTTATGTATACACTTCTCAATGGCAAAAATTGGCAATCTGGCTTTGCCTGCAATTGAAACAAGTTGTCTGCCTGCTTGTGGTCTTAGCAACAGCAGAGTCGCAAGATGTCAAGCCCATGAATAATAGCATGTGTCAGATGTAATATCTTGGCCAGCTTTGTATGTGTTAATTTAATGAGTTTTCTCTGCAACATCCACAAGTAATCAACTTTGTTGGCATTCAGTCAAATTGATGTATGCTTCAAGACTCTTAACATACAAAGCTGTCTTCAATAAAATGACTACTCTGCTTTTGTCTGCTTTAATTAGTGTTAACTGGTTATTATAGAGTCAATCCTTGCAAGTATTCTGTTATTCTTCAGGTGAAACAGAATCATCAGTGTAAGGAATTGGTTACATAAAATTTATATAAAGCAATAGAAACAGATCACTAATAAATTAACAAAATTAAAATTTCTTAAATAATGCACTATCTCAAACAATATCACCTAAAAATTAAATGTTTGGCTGAGATGGACCTGAAGCCATGATCAATCTGTTCTCCAAAGCTCTGCCACCTAATTCCAAGGAGGAAAAAAAAAAAATGAAAAACAAGAAAAAGTTCAGTAGATAACAGTTTTCCCCAAATGCTTTTCCTATTTAAATGTCAACAACTCTTAATTAAATACAGAAAAACTTCAATTTTTTTTCTGTTAAATTGAAGTTTTTCTGTATTTAATTAAGAGTTGTTGACATTTAAATAGGAAAAGCATTTGGGGAAAACTGTTAGCTACTGAACTTTTTCTTATTTTTCATTTTTTTAAACTTTCAGTCCTTATGTCATATGTGAAAATTACACCAGTACAGAAGATGGAATATTTATAAATGAATCTAATGCAACTATTATATCAAATATGCAACACTTGGTACTATACATACAGATCTGACAAAATATCCTTCAATGTTGTATTCTTATATTCAGTGTTATATTTGGTGTTAATTATTACCACCAAACGATAAATTTATTAGCTTTATTGGTACTTAAGGATATCAAAAAGTAATTTCCTTTTGATGGGCAAGCAATATTTTGTTGTATCCCTTTATGTTAAATTTTTGAAAACTCACCAAAAGTAGAAGTTACAAAGACAAAAATAAATATAAAAAACTTCAAAAGTAAGTAATTGTTGAATTCTTTATGTTCATATCTAAATGAAACATAATAATTAATAAATAATATGTTGTCGCCAACAACTTTTATTAATTAATTTCTAAATGTTAACAAAATATCAAATTATATTAAATACATAACAAACCTACCATACTCACCGTCTGAATGTAAGTGAGACGTTTCATCTGATGTAGCAGATTCATTTCCTTTATCTTGAGAACTAAACAAAGGAAATTTTAAATCATTTTTATTATGAAGAGTTTAAAAAATACAGTTAAAAATATTCAAAAATAATACTTATTTATAAAGATGTTTTATAAATGTGTATCTTTACATAACTATTTAAGTACAATAGAAGCAAATGGCTTCTTAAATTATGGTGATCATAATTTAAGTTGAGAGGCCACTGAGTAGTGAGAACAATGTCTCGTGAATGTTTGGAAGAATATTTTCTATAACATTATTAACTTTTATTATTTATAACCTGAAAATTAATTTTTCAGGTTATAAATTATTTTCAGATCAAAAATTATTGAGTAAATTAACATTATATTAATATTTAGAAAACTTCTCAATTCANTTTGAGGATTTACTTAATTAACGTCGTAAGTAAATCCTCGTTCGTTAAGTAAATCCGTTAAGGAACACACGTTAAGTAAATCCTTTGAGGATTAACCGTGCATGCCTGACCTTGAGTAGTGTGTGGGGGGAAAACTGAACAGATACTGGAAGTGTGTAAGACAATTTGAAATAATATTTTAACAGTAAGACAAAGTAAAATAGGGAAATAGCTTAATATAATAATTATTTAAATTATATTTGCTACTTAATTATTAAATATCTATACACCGTATTGATTTTGAAAATATCTATTTTTTGTTCAATTAAGAATTGTTCGTAAGATAGAATATTGCAAAAAGAAGAATGCTTTTTAAAATATTTGTGGTAATAACAATTCTTTTTAATATTATCTGATCCTGGTCACCCAAGAAGTTCAATGTCTAAATAACTGTAGCTCCAGTTTTTAAAAAGATTTTTTTTCCTATCTATCCACCTTTAAATAAAAATTAAAATTAAAATTAAAATTAAATTAAAAATTTAATTCGTTATATATTGAGAAATAATTTAATAAGTTTTTAAATTAATATGTTTGATCCAGCCAGTTATATCCGATGGTTTTTCATCTATAAATTTAATCCATGAATTTTTTTGGTAGTAACATCGACTTGCCATTGATCTTTCGCTGATAATTGATGCTTTTTAACAGAATCTATAGCCCAAGATTTTTCTTGAAAAATTAATTTTGTGATCAGTGCTACCCAAACCACTACTACTACTATTTACACCATAGATTTCTATGCACATGTTTTTTCATGTGAGTTTTAATAGAATTTGTTGCCAATAAACATCAAAGAACGGCCACTATGTTGTCATCAGATGCCATGGCCGACTGACTGACAGAGATTTTCTTCCTCGTGTGTGGGTGACTGGAAATTCTGAATTTCCTCAAGGTCAGGCATGTGCGGTTACACATTAAGCCATACACATTAAGTAAATCCTCAAAGGATTTACTTAATGTGTATGGCTGCCTTATACAAGCTACCTTCCAAAGTTTGTTTCTTCATTACTCCATCCTAAAATATTAAACAAAATAGATGCCAACACACACATGGAATTTCCCCTATTTTTACTTTTTTTATTCAGGTCTCAAAATGTGGAGATTTGCAAAAGAAGCTCAAAGATCAAATTTGACACAACTCCAATACTTTCCCTTGTTACATATAAATAACAGCTGGGAAAGTAAAAATAATCCTAAAGCAAGTGCACCAAAACTTGCAGCAGAGTTACACTGGAAATTAAACTACAGGTCATATTCACCCAGAAACGGTAAGGAATTCTGTAGGAAAGTAGATATAATGGTAGAGTTGTCAAGACAAAATTTTGTTAAAGAAAGAAACAGAAGAGCTCACTAGCAGTTTGCAAAAAACATGGTGGATAAAGATTGAATGTTGAAGCACATGGTAGTTGCAGACAAAGATAAAATTTAACATCTTTGATTCCAATGGTTGAACTACAGTTTGGAAGAGGCCAAATTATGAACTGAATGAAGAAAACCAATTATGCCAACAGTAAAGCATGAAGGAAGCATTATAGTTTGGGCCTTATGCCACCTCTGGAATTGGAAGATATGTTTATTGATGGAGAAGGATATTTAAATATTCTTTTAGACTTTTGCAGAAAATCTAGGTATATTGAACAGCTTCCATTTTTATCATCAGAATAATGATCCAAAATGCAAGTTTTATAAAATTCAACAGTGGCTACTTCACAACTGTCCAAAAGTGATTGAGACACCAGATCAGTCTCACAACCTAAATGTAATCAAACATTTATGGAATCAATTAGATAAAAAGGTTCAGAAACATATATTAGTAACAAAAATGAACTAAAAATGTCAAAAATTAAGTTGATCATCACAGAAAAACTAGTAAAATCAATGCTAAACAGACTGAATGCTGTGTTGGAAAGAAAAAGCAACCAACAAATATTAACTGTCATGTATAATTTTTAATTCCCTGGATCTCCCACGACCCCCAGCGTATAAACGAGCAGCATTCCAAGCACTCATCACAAGAACCCATTCACATTGTAACAATACCCAGGACAGAACAGAAGAGCTGAATTATATATATAAGCTAGCCAAGACATACAGGGTCAATATTAAGGCTATTATCAGCCAATGCTGCAAGTGAAGAAAAGTACCTAATACCGAGGGGTTTACAATGATAGAATATAGAGCATTGTTGAATAATATCTTTAGACCAGTGTTTTTCAACCTTCTTGAATAAGCGACCCCTCTACAAGTTAAAAAATTCCAGCGACCCCCCAGGGCCATATTAAAACTGTCAGTGAATGATTTTAAAAACTACGTATTTAAGTTTCTTTCTGTTGAGACCTAAATATTGATCAAAAAACCAATTGTACTGTAAAATAAACAGGCACAGCCTTCTCACCGAGATTGTAGTTTTTTTATTGTAGTGTAGGACCTACAAAACACTTGTCTTTTTCTTTTACCCGTGACCCCCATGTAAGGCTTTGCAACCTTCCTGGGGGTCACAACCCACAGGTTGAAAAACACTGCTTTAGACGATCGGAAAAGCTATGAACAAAAGAATCATATATAAAAGGAACCCTACCATTTACCAATTATGACGATCAGATAAAGATGAGACCAAAGGAACACACTTCCTGGAGTTTATAAAATCCCCATTACGAACACACTGCAACAAAATAAATTAATGTATATCGGAGCCACTGGAAGATCTATCAAGGATAGGATAGTGGAACGCCAAAGAAACATAAGAAGTAAACAACTATGCAGCACTGGCCACTTACGTTTTAGCCGACCCCAAGAAGTCAAAGCCAAATGGGACCAAGCAAGACTAATACAAGTAGTTCGGGACATTAAGCACCACTGTTACGCAGAAGCATGGCAGATCTGTAAAGCCAACCAAAAACATCTCTCCAACTTTCGAGAATTAACTAAAGTGTTGGCGGCATGTCGTTCAAGCTTGATATAAACCCTAATAAACAGAAGAAATGGATACAGCATAAAAAGCATTTTTAAGAAACAGACAGCTCAAATGCTTTTTACATTACTATATGCCCTTGTTATTTTATGTTATGTTATATGTTATATTTCAGATGTCTTAATTTCTTTTTGATGTTTGTAGTTATTTTCTCTTTATGGTCCTGATTTTTATGTTTTTATTTTATCTTCATGTTTTAATATTAGCTATTGATAAGATGGCACACCTAATTTTCAATAGAATATTGTTCAAAAAGCCTATTAGTTTATGCAAATTACTAAGTATTCAAATTTTAAAGCTTTTTCTTGATAAAGGTCATTGTTTAATTCATAGTGCTACCTCTGCTTCTTAGTATAACAACTGATACAAGCAGATCATCGCTTCTCTATATACATTTGTGTTTGTCGACTGTAAGAAATATGTAAGCTTCATGATCTTCCTCTGTTTTGGGGTTTAAAGTGTTGGAATTGATACTTACAATTACTAGCTGTGTGGACTTTGTTTTTTTGACTTGTACGTTTATTATATATGGATTCATGGGATTCTCAAATCTTTGTCTTACAAATTTTCTGCACGGGATAAATGCTGTTAAACACTTATTTTCAGAATTATTGTATTTACTGCAACCTCCTTTTGTGAAAATATTCCTGCAGATAGGTAATCTATTATATGCTGCAGCAAGCTGATGCATATTTTGTTCAGGTCTTTTATTGTCATTGTGTTTTATTTTATTTTTCTTTTCACTTTGCTTTGTTCATTAGTGAATACTGTAACTCAGTGCAACTATGTAACGGATATGCTCTTGTAATGCTCACTGCGGGGCAGGACTTTGTACCTTGTTTTAAATGTACAATTAAACTAGTGAATGAATGAATGAATGATAAAAGTCATTTAACATGACCGAAAATGTTAGACGTTAATAAATTTGGCTGCATGTTTACAAGGTGTCAGAGTAAGTTTTGTTTATTGAGTAATATGCAGGCTAGGATGAATTTCTCATTATCAATATGCATTTACCTTATAACTTCGTTTACATGTTGATTGACAGATCAGTCAGTAAAATTTTACCTGAGGATATACTTTCAAAATTAAGTACTAATTATTTTTGGCAATTACCTTTCTCTTCGTGAGTTAAGTTTTTCTTCCATTCATTTTCTTTGCTAAAACAGCTAGTCAACAGCTAGTGGGTAGCAAGACATGTACGCATACAAGACTGTGTGGCGCATTCGCATGGTCAGCGAAATACATGGTGCATATGTCCGAACTTGTAGTATATAAAGTTGACATGGGGAACACACACACATAAATTCACTTTATTCGAACTCTTAGTCTTAATGTTCAATTTTATGTTCGAATTTATATTTATGAATGATTCGAGAAGATCCAACTTATTTTTCAAATTTAGTAAACTAGAAGAACCCAGAAGGGATTATGAAAACATTTGTTATTTATCACTTAGTGGTACTATACACTGGTTAGTGGTTGCTGTGAATCTTAATCATTGTTATCCCAGTGTGGTAAGCAGATATCTAAAAATTTTCTAATTAGTCTCAGAAGAGGGGGGGACCTAATTCTTGCACTTGGTGAAAACGAGTAAGATCGGCTATAATCTAATGATCTTAATCTTTGC